CTATAATAAATTTTAAATAAAAAAATATAGTTATTATTCAAATAAAAGAGGTAGTTAATAACTAATATTACTAGTTGATATGTGACAATTAACAATTGATATGTGACAACTAATAGTTGTTTATAATTCAGTTTTTCTTTTAAAATATGAAAAATAATTATTATTCTATAATAAATTTTAAATAAAAAAATATAGTTATTATTCAAATAAAAGAGGTAGTTAATAACTAATATTACTAGTTGATATGTGACAATTAACAAATATTATTTATAGTCTAAATTAATACTTTTATTTGTCTAATTAGAGGCAATGTCACATATAGAGGTAGGGACCTTCGGGTCCTAAGCCCCCCTAAACTTTTAAAAAATTATTAATATATAATTGATTAGTTTTTATTTTTATTTTTAAATTTTTATTTATTTATACAATTTTAATCTTTTTTTAATCAATGTTTCATTTTGCTCTTTTTTTTTTATTTTTTAATTCCGCCATAATCTAGCATGTACCTAAGGAGCGTTGGAGACGCTCTTTCTAATACTCTCCTTAAAACACTTCTCATGGAAATGTTTATGTATTGTTTAAAAAAAAATGTATCTTCTAATTAATATTTTAAAAAATTTATTATTAGATTAAAAATTTTATTCATACAAGTTATATGTTTATATTATTTTAATACTTATAATCTTTTGATAAAAAAATTTATTTATTGACATATATTTAATGATATTAATTAAGTTTTTTATGACTAACAAAGTTAGATCTATTAGAATAGTTTAAAATTTAGTATGCATAATTTATCTAAATTGAACTTTTAATTAAATGGTTGATCTTAAAAAATATTAATCAAAAGATAAAATTTTAAAGATATCCTTAAAAAAATGTAAAAAGACAATATGTAAAATACCTTTTCTCTAATAATAGAAAAAGACTATTAGAAAAAGATTTGTCAGCATTCCTTTAAGTATACATATTCAAAATTATTAATAAAAGTTTGATCAAATTAGTATTTATTAATTTAAAATTTTTTATTTAAAATTAAGTGAAATGTTTAAATTTTTATATTATCAAATAACTAAATTTTTAATATAAATAAATAAATAAATATATATTCAAAATTGAATGCCTTCAAATATTTTGAATATGGGTTCCTGATCGTCCCATTGAAAGCAGGACAATTATCGATCTATACCGTTCCTTTATCATCGTCGTTATACAATCATAACTTACCAGTTTAATTAAAGAGATTTATTACTAAGTACAGTCTATCTACAGTTCGCACTTTCTCCGTCGTTTCCAATGTCTTTTTCTATGTACACTACTCCCATCTGGGTCATTTCCATTTCATCTATGCAGAGAATTTGTGCCAACTTGTTTGTTGCAGGATAAATGCCAAAAGGGAGTCTGTGTGTGTTGCAGCAACGACCCGCGATAGAGATAAAACTTATATTTCCTCTCTGGCCTGTTCCGGTGGCTTTTCTCTGAGAAAAAAGGGAGATCCAATTATTTCTATTTCTCTTTCTTCTTTTATTTCTTCCCCTTCGTGGGAAATCGAGCTGCCACCACGAGTGGAGGAAACAGAATCGTATGAAAGTTGTTTTTATTGTAATGAATATGTGAATTAATATATATTTATATATTTAATAT